AGCTCTGCGGACAGACGCTCCATTTCTGCTTCTGCGTTGAGTCTTTACAGGTCAAGCTTATTGGTTTTCCCACACGAAATTTGGACAGCATCTCAACGACATGTCAGCTTGCCGCGTGCTGCTTGCTCTTGTGTCTTCGCGCTTCCATCAGCTTCTGCTCGCTGTTGACATTCGGGAGCGAGGACTCGGACGTGCCATGAATTGTTCACACCAAAAGGAGCTTTGTTGCCTTGCCGGCCACTCCAGAGAACAAATCTGAGCAAGGCTTTTCTCGTGACAGGAATCAGGTTTCTGTAAGGAAGCTCGACGTGGGTACAGCGTGCTCATAGCTCGGCCGCCAACAAGAGTCCGTGAGTACTTCTGCGATGTTGCAGATGAGGCATAGCAAGCTCTTACAGAGCCTCAAGAACCCCTCCTGCGACGAACACGCCTCCTGCGCATCGACCGGACCTCCTGTGCAACTTGAGTGTCCCGGTCACCGCAGTCGTATTGGAGTATCGCAGAGTCAGCATCGCACTGTTTGGAAGCTGGTCTGCAGAAGCAAGACTTCAACTTCCGACTGTTTCTACTCAGCTTCAACTCCCACCCAGATGATTGGGCCTTCCGCTTTCTGAGCGAGGTTTCTCCGATGTCAAGTCCTGGAGGGTAGCGTGCCGATTGAGGGAACGAAGGTTCGAAGAGGCATGATGCAAGACACTGAGCTGGAACCTTGATGCTCATGTTGCCAAGTTGTCCGCAATTCCTAGCCCTGGATTTGGTCTTCCAAAGCCCAGATCTACCACATGGAGATTGGATGTTCAGCCGAAGGTCAGGCATTCCTTGACAGTGAAACTTAAGAGTCAGCTAAAGCGGCTCGGACCAATCCACCACGCACAAGTATTCATCGGTCATGCTTTTCACGAAGTACATATTTCAACCATGACTCCTACATCATGATCCTATCTCGGAGCCAGCGCCCTGGCTGAGGTGCCTTACCAGGCGCCAGCTTGTGGCAGGGCTTTCCCGGGGAGCAGGATGGCTTTGCTCAATCTGAGGGAATCGGCCCATGGCCTCGCTGACTTCGAGCCGCCTTAGCGCAATCTCGGTTCAGGCATTGGGCACCGCCTGCCTAGAAGCACACGGCCTTCTTGTTGCATCTTCCCAGCGCGTTGGTGGTCATGCTGACAGTTTCCCGTGCAGGGTTGTGGTTGGAAGACTACCCGTAGCTAGTCTAAACTGGGGTATGATGGGTCTGGGCCGTGACGGTTTGGTGCCCGGACCCTTCCAGAAGTACATCTTGGAGGCACGCCAGGAGTCTTAATCGGAGTTGTAATCGGGGATGCCATGCAAACCTTTCAGGTCCGAGAGCCAACCCTCGCTGGGCTCTGCCAGCACTAATCAGCCAGCAATCGCGATGCAATGACTCCGGGTTCTGCACGTAAAAGTCGAAGAGTCCGGACTCAGATTGATGCAACACTCATACAGAAGACAGCTGCAGATGGACACTTCTCAGGTCTTAGTAACGAAAGCAAGCCTTTGCAGAAGAACGCCTTGGTTAAAAGTTCCAGATCCAAAATGATCCCTGTAAAGAACCACATCCACACTTATCTTTCAGGCGATAGCGATGATGTCAGCCCTGGGCACTCGTCCGCCCATGAACGGAGCCATTGCCACATAGGCCTAGCAGGCCCTGGGTTCAAGAGCAGACTCTGTCTGATTCAGGAAGGGAACGCACTACTGCCTGTACTTCAAGCCGAGCTGTCGGAAGGAACCAACGGGTCGCTCTCTCGGCCTATAGGCCTAGATCCTACAAAGCAAACACGGCTGAATCCAGTTCGCCGAGCAAAGGCCGCACATTTCTGACGTGAGTGCGGCCATCGCCACCCTAAGCCCGGGACTTAATGCAAAATCTTCATGCCTACACCCAAGAATCTCTAGGCCCGGAACCCCAAGCCCCAGTCCGTGAACCCTACCAGCAAGCGCCGTGCTCGCCTGCACTCCTTATCGGCATCCTTGCTGGCTAGCAACAAGGCGAGGGTCTGCACATGTCAGGACGCCTGCATCATAGAAAGCTCAGCAAACACCCCCCCCTGCACTTAATAAATGTAGGAGTGGCGGGGGGCACATAATTGTAGGACATGTTTTCCTACAATTGCCAGTGTCCGTGTCCAGCAGAAATAAGCAGGGGTCGGGGTGTGCGTGGCTTGCCTTGCACGAGGTAGCTGCAAAACGTGGACCCAGACGCGGGATCCTACAATTGACACATGCGTATCGGTGGGGGAGTGAATATTGTAATCTACATTTTCCCTCCCCTCCCCTCCTAAGCACGGGGGGCTCAGCAAACAAAGTGTCCCTGTGCATTCGCACCGTGTCGGAATGGACTTGAGAGGTGCAATTAAGCCTGACATCCTGGATTTCATGGAGCCGGAAGCCTGAGCCTGAACCCGACAACCCAGAACAGAAAGGTTCAGCCTTCAGCAGGATGATCTCCACTGCAAGAGGATAGGGTGCCGACATGCAGGGCCCCGGGAAGTGAAGAACTTCGACGAGGACAGCGGTGCGTAGGTTCAGATACTTAGCACGTTGATTCAGAGATTTACGGGTCGCAGGGCTCAGGCCCTGCAGGCACCAACTGAAGTCAGCTGCATGAAGCCGTCGTGAATGCGCAGGCAGTCTGGTGTACATCCTTTTGATGCTGAGATCGCGCTTACCAGCAGCTGCAGCAGGGATTCTGAGAACATCGGGACGCTGAATCACGCGTGCAATCTGGCGGTCATGCCTTGACGGACGAACCGTACATGGCAGCCGTTGCACCGTCTCTGTGCTTCTCTTCGTCCCACGAACTCGGGGCTTCCAACAAGAAGAAGCCCAACAATGATGCGACTACGGCCCCAGATAGGATCAGCGCAGTTCTGTGCCTGGTGTCCTGTGTCGCACAAACTCAGCTTAAGCCCGTTAGCTGAAGCTCAGCAGCATGGAGATTAGCGGGGCTATTCGGGTTGGAGATGGTGCGCAGCCTTCGATTCTCTCCGCTCTAACGTCAGCGCACCTTTCAGGACAGCGATGACTTCCTCTGTATTTCTGCCTGAGAGCTTGGCCAACCTTTTGCAGCTTCAATCCATTTGGATATTTCCTAAAGGCCGGGTCCTTTGTCCGGAGGTTCTCGCCATAAGGACTCCCGTTGGAGGGAGACCCTTCAAAGGCCCTGCGCTTGAGAAACATGGAAGACATCCTCCGCAGCACGCTGCGTCCCTTGATGCGCCCTGTAGCGTCAGCCACAGAGTGCCATTTGGCTGAGGCCTGTTGCCCAGAGCGTGACATGATCTGACTTTGGGCGTCGAGTGGTGAAGTGCTGCCATGTGTGGCCAAAGCACCAGCGAACCCAAGCTCAAAGATCTGGAGTTTCCACCGCTCAGACGGCTTCGAAGTCTTGCCAACAAGCCTGGGATGTTGTGCCTGGGGTCGCAGCCTACAAGCTCGGAAAAAGGAGGCTACAACAGTGCATGCCTGTACCTATTAGGCATCCGGAAGGTAAGGGCAGGATACCAGAGTGCACTATTATCAAGGTTTGTGGGTCTTCTGTTTTGGATTTGGCCGTGGGGCGGTGATCACTGGCTTTTGTCTCTCCACGAGGTGTCGTCAGTGGGCGTTAAGGTTGCCAATACTTTTTCTGCATGCCGCAGCACTGTCTTGAGTCGAACACATGGCACCGCAGCTTGCGCACGAGCGTCCACACACACACACATGCACGCACATGCAAGCACGATGTAGAATGTAGACCCTGATCTCCAAGCCCGAATGTTTAAGCGATTAGAGCTTTCAATTCAGCAGCACTGACTGGGCCCTCAGGAAAAACCCGAAGCCCAAGAACCCAGTTTCAGAGCTCCGAGCCATGGGGTGCTGCGAAGGGGTGCTGCCTTCGGAGGCGCTATACTTCCACCGATCTCCAGAACTGACTGTGTTGGGTTGTTGGTCGTACCTAACATCGAAATCAGACGGGTGTTGGCCAGATGAGAAGGTCAGCCATTTGTTGCAAGTTTGCTTACTTCAGCAGTGACATCGAAGTCGGATGGGTATTGGCCAGCCAAAAACATCCGTCCACGTCATGCAATTCCCAGAACGTGCTTCGACATTGCATATCCGGTCAAGTGTAGCTTCTGCATTCACTTTCAATGGATTCCGGCGCTGGTATGGTAACACTGTGCCCCGGCCCTGTCATGCCTCTACAGTACTGCCTGGTTCATGTTCGCCTGAAGGCGTCATCAGAGGTGCCCTTCGTCACGGAGCTGTCAAGCGCTCAGGGCAGGAGCTTTGAAGGCGCAAAGGTTCATAACTGTATTTATGGTTGGGAAAGTTGAAAGTCGTCTGCACCTGCGCAGGTTTGATTGGGAGTGCGTTGCCCTGCAACAAGCCACTCCACTAGCTGTCTGCTCATGTGAAACTGCAATCCAGGTTTCAAGGTCTCCGTGGCAAGTGCCACCACAAGATTGGACCCCGAACCCTCACTGGCTAGCTTGCCGATCATTAATCTCGCAGCCCTGACGCACCACGAAGGCCATCACAGATCTTCAATGCTAAGATGTTTTCCGACTGTTGTATGCCACAGCCTTTCCGAACATGAGTCGCCTGGGATGCCTTCATGCTGCTCAATGGTTGCCCACGAGACGCTAAGCCCTCGAGCTTTTTATGCCCCCGAAACCCCCAAACCTGCTGGACCCCATCAGCAAAACGAAACAAGAAGAAACCCCTGCTCATGTACAGGGTGGGCGACCTTGGATCCGCTGAGTCTTTTTCATCCGCTTGTGCCACTATTGAGACACTGTGTGCGAACCGTGCAAAACACGAATTCGGGAAGGTGGCGCCTGTGTTGCAGATTTGATGGGTTCAAGTACTGAAGGAGAATCGGAGATGAAGTCGATGTGCATGAACCGATTGATGCACGACTGAAAGGCACCAGTTGTGAATCATGGGAATGCATTCGCAGCCTGGGACCGAACTTTTCTGTAGAAGGACCCTTTGCCATGCGTGTGCCGAGGACATTTGCACTGGCAGAGTGAAGTCATTCTATGCCGGTATCGATCGAAAACTCATGGAGACGTTTTTGTGCAAATTGTCAGGATGTGGATGTGTTCATCTTTGTTCGTCCTTCTGTGGCCGCGACTTGTCTGCATGGACTGGCGGTTCATTGGCGCATCACATGCGGCGGTGCTCCGGGCACAGCTGGCGACGTCAGGATGGCATATGCAAAGCCACTCTTGGCGCTCCAGCAATCATTAATGATGCATCCGGGGACGCCCGCGGATTCCGTGTCGGATGACTGCAGCCTCGATGCCCAGAAGCGGTATCGGCAATCCATCGAATTGCGAGCTCGCCATCTTCAAAGGATGTCCACCACGCAGGAGAGGATCCCAGCTGCAATTGTGTGTTGTTCGATCAATAGGTGCAGGACAACCTTCCGATAGAGCGCTTGTCGTGCAGATGTTCAGCTCACAACAAAGGAAGTTGAACGATTTGTATGTGGAGCTCATGGGATCCGATCGTATTGAAACGGAGGGCTCCACTGCCAGCTTTGACACCATGGAGGCAGGAAGCCAAGATACCGATTCGTGCGACACATGTAATGCAGCCTACGGGTAGGTATGTCCGCAGTATCTAGCATCCATGCTTGATGATTGTCACTCGCGCGACCCTCACCACCCAGTACAACAGAGTCAGCGGATTGATCAATGCAGGCAGCACTGAAGAAACGACAAGCAGAACTTGACTGGCTGCTTGAGACAACGGAAGCTGCGATCTCACGCCGCTGTAGTGGCAGTTGATTGTGGTTTCAAGGGATTGGAGACAAGGGGTGCCAGCAGCAGCCGACGTACCCAAGCTTTCGATCCCAAGACCTGCATGTGGGACACTGCTGCCAAGGCAAACGCGCGACAGTTGCCATCGGGACAGAGAGCCCGTCAGCCCCAAGCACAGTTGCAGATGTCTTGCACCGCGGGAGTCGTTGCTTAAACAGCAGAGCAGAGCCTGCTCTATCCAGTCAGGTCTTTGTTCCAGGCGCTTGTTACTCGTAGCAGGGATTTGGTGAAGCAAGATCTCGGCCGCTGAGGTTAGCTGATGCAGGCTGCGGAAGCCCGGAAGCTCTCAGGAGCGGAAATTAGAGCATCAAGAGGATGCAAGCTTGCAGGGACAGAGGGCCTGAGATAGAGAGTTGCCCGATGCCATGCCCAGAAGCACGACAAGCGCGCAGGGGCTGCAGTGGGACGGCAAGTTTCGATCCAAACGCGAGCAGGACATCAAGTGCCAGATGCCGGCTAAAACGGAAAGCAGAGCACTTGACATTCTCAGACAGACAGGTCGATCCGGGAGCATCCCTTGCGTTGAGGTCGATTGGTGCGTGTCTTTTTGTGGGCTCAAGTTGATCCGTGGCCCCTGGATGTATATTCGGCCAGGAAGGGCAGAATGAAGGTGGTGCGCGATTCGAAGTTTAGGCACGTCTTTGGCAATGCTGCTGGGAACGAAGTTAGATCACAAGTAGACTAAGTAGACCGTACTTGTGCTGCCCTCAAGAGTTGAGCCAACAAAGGAGTAGTCCGTAGTCTGCAGAACCCTCTCCAGAAAAGTTTCATGTTTGGCCTTGTACTATTTGCTTCCGGTGGGCCGAGGCCACCAAGGAGAGCTTTCAGGACCTCCGCCTGTCTTCGAAGCCCTTGGAGACCACGGGCATTCGCGGCAGTTTGGCATTCAAGACTCATGTGGGGCAGAGGCAAGCCAAGAGATAAAGCAAGGGCGGACTGAAACTTCAGAGAATTTCGGCAGCAGGTTTCTGCACCTCTGACCTGAGTTTAAGCATGTTTAAGCTGCACCCGGTCATGTGGGACCGGCGGGGTTGAGTGTAAGGCAATTCAAAGTTCGTGTGCTTCCCATGGGAGTCCGGTGGCGGTGGCACTTTGGCAGCGACCGGGCAGCACTGCATCGGAAAATCCGGAAAGGTGGGTTCATTTATTTCCTTTGAGCCGCACCGCACAGCTCCCTTTTGAACGCTGCCGGCTCCGGTCCGGACCGCTCACTTGCATGTGCACTTTTTACCAACCTGCGGCAGCATGCAAGCCAGGGACTTGCCTGTGTCCTTGACAAGCGGTCTGGAATTTGGAGCGGTGAGCGCTTGAGGTGATTCCTGCGACCCAATTTGGGCGATTGCCGCGAGAGACGCCGCTGGTGGCCGGTCACACAGGAGGAGCGGACGGAACTTTTACGCCATGAAGGGTGTCTGTAGGCCTTTCTGTCCGCAGCAGGCATCATGGACTTCGAGTTCAGCCCCTTCGACGACCACCTTCTGTTAAGTGCCAGCGAAGACTTAACCATGAAACTCTGGCAGATCCCAAGCGATGGGCTCAAGCAGCACCTGAAGGACATAGCCGAAGAGCCGAAGCCTTTCCCTCTTCGATGCATTGTGTGATGGAGGAACCGCTGCTGACGCTGGAGGGTCATGGGAAGAAGGTCTGAGGGCCAGTGCTGGCGCAGAGTTGCGGTTGCCTCAAAAAACTTCTGCTTCTGCGAAGACATGTGGGAGGTCTCATTTAGCACCTTCAACCCCTGCGCATCGAATATCGTGGCCTCCACCGCCTTCGACCTGACCTGCAAAGTGGCGGCTGCCGCACCAAATCTTTCTAGGGCCTCATGGGCCTGTTGAGTTGTCCTGGGGTGAATGGAGGATTGGTAGAGAAAGCACACGGTATCTTCACACGGCTTGGTTATGCCCGACTTGGAGACCGGTGTATGCGTCTACCCGTATGCCTTTGCTTGGAGTGCCGCGGGCTTCAGGTCTGGAATCTCACGGAGCAGGAGGCATCCTTCAGCATCCCAGTGCCGGAGCAGGTCATGCACATCAAATGGAACTACACCGGTTCCCTGCTAGCCGTGACCTGCAAGGACATGCCGCATGCCGCACTTTGCTGCAGGTATATCCACAACCTAAGCCTAGGCGCCCGGCCCTGCCCATGGCAGAACACCGCGCGTATGATAGGGCAAGGCGGCTCCCGTGAATGCGCCAACGTCTGCCAAATATAGGACAAGAAGCTCCACATCGTCGACCCCAGGCAGAGCAAGACGCTCGGTCGCTGTAGCATCGTGTGGGGAGAGCTGTGGCCACTTGCAGTGATTCTCGAAACAGCGAAGAGAACGACCTAACAGAAGTTCCCATCTTGGCCGCCGACAGCCCGCGTAAACCTGCCACACTTCCGAGGACTGGATGATACCTAGGTGCCCATATTGCAACTCATCGATCCACCCGTGCACATTAAGGATGACCGCGGCCTGCAAAATCTGCGATGGCCCAAAGCCGACGAAGGCATCGGCAGCCGATGCTCCACTGTCTGCCTTCACGTGTACGCGCCCCCATGCACTGCATTCAGATTCCCCGAGAGTTGCCCCGAAGCCCCCTGAACCCGGCAGGTGGAGTGGCTTGGCAGCTCGACGAACCCGGAGGATCCTCGAGAAGATGCAGTGTGCAGAGCGAAGACTCGAGCTGCATGAGGTACAGTAGTAAGGCGTAGTAAGACTAGGACATAAGTCTGTCGCAGGATTGCAACATGCTCGTCACCACGGGCTTCTCGTCACAGGCCGAGAGGCAAATCAACCTCTGGGACATGAGCGGCTCCGGCCGCGTTTCAGCTATCATGAGAGCTGCGTTGTACCCCCGAAGCAGCGAGCAGAACTACAATTCATGAAGCCCTAAGCCGCTAGCCTAAGCCCTTACTGCCCTAACCCTAAACCAGCCTGGTGTGTCCCAGTGTGAGCGCCGAAACATCCCCACAGCGTCAACCAGCTGCCCAGGAAAGCTGCCTGCAGATGGCCAGGAGAGCGTGGCGGCAATGGCCTCCCTGAACGTCGACCAGGGGACCGGGGCCTTGATGCTCGCCTGTGAGACAATTTGCGGGTTTCCCCCTGTTAGTCGTCCGAGTGGTGCCGAAATCAGTAACCGGGGCTTCAAAGGACCGATTATTTCGGGTCTGTATCGAAGTGCCGTGTATGGTAGCAGAGCCAAAGAAGCACACAGGGGAGAGGGTACTATGCTGGCTCTGGCATAAAGTACGGTTGGCATTAGACTTGTCTAAGCAAAAGCTGCAAGAAGCCACAGCCATCTTTCGGGGCCACAGGTGGTGGTAGGGTAGCTTCCGAAAGGCCTGCAGGCTGGTTGCGGAAACCTGGAGAGAACATAACGGACCTTGTAATCTACAGGGAATACTTGCTCGTAGACTGGCCTGTGGTGGGCTTGTTGGTAGATTCGCCGCATCGGAAGACCCTTCAAAGCTCCCTTTGCCGAATGCAGTTTCGATCTTCAGGTACCCGTACTTCGACCCAGGCACGCAGATGCTTTACATCGCCGGCAAAGGCGACAGCAACGTTAGATTCTTTGAGGCGGGAAGGGCTTACGACTTGGCCGGGTCAAGATGGCGACCTAATCAGAACGATGAGGCTTCAAAAAGTGCCGCCGCGGCCGGTCCGCCCAATAGAAGGAGACAGCAAACAAAGAGGCTGGGCATCTCCTCAGGTGACAAACGCAGACCCGTTTCTCCACTACCTCGAGGCCTGGGCTCGATGCCTTCGTGCAAGTCGAGCAAGGGTTTAGGGTGCCTGGGAGAGAGCACCATCGCAGAGGAGTTTGCTTCACTCGCTTCTACTTGGACTGCACATGACATCCCAAACCTGGCAAGGCATACAAGTCAACTGTTCCCCAGAAGGGCTTCGATTTCCTCCCAAAGCGGTGCGTGGATGCCACCTGCCAGCGACGGAAGCTCTTTGTTCTTGCGGGGTTGGAGGCAGTGCGTGAGACATTGTGGTATCTACAGCCGCATTCAACAAGTCATGCAGCTATGAACCACAAGCGTCAGAATTGTGCTTTGTCCTTAATAGCACACCCCATTGCAGGTTGAAGCCTATCAAATCCGGCTTGACTTTTGTTATGCTAAGGTCAGCGTTCACGAGGTCATGCGTGGCCTCAAGCTGGAAACTAGTTCCATCCAGACGCTGGGCCGCTGAATGCCGGAGGGTTTGCAGGGTCCGGGGCTTTAAGGCTCAGATAAGGCTTTTGAAGCCCTCACCAAATCGGTGATCGGTAGTGTTGAGCAGCTTCTCCTGCATGCTTATGACGCAGAGTCTCAGAGTGTTCACTTGTACAGCACCACCTAGGCCAGTGTCGTTCCGCGTGCCGCGGAAGAGTGAAGCCTTCCAGGAGGATCGTTTGTTGAACAGAGCTGGAGAAGAAGAGCAGCATGTGTGTCTTTTGTTTCAGTTGCAAGCCCTTGGCAGGATATCTTCCCCGACTGTCCTGCTGGCCTTCCAAACATGAACGCCGACGAGTGGGTTTCCGGCCAGGAGTGCAAGCCTCCAACGCTCACCCCGATGAGGCACGGTGCTTCTGTGCCTTAAAGCCTCTGCCGCAACATGCCGCAACTCGTCTTGGGCCTCGTTGCAGGCCGGGCACTATGCGGACGCAGGGCAATGCTAGCAGCGCCCCAGCGGTGGTGTCTGTGAAAGATCTGAAAAAACAGTTGGGCCCTCAGCCGCGAAGCTGGGACCCGGGACCCAAAGCCAAGAATTCTTTGCGGCTCTCAAGGCTTGCGGAGGCGCAGGCGCGGATCACGGTGCTGGAGGCGGAGAATGCGTCGCTGAAGGAGGAGCTTGCAAAGGCGAAAGCCGGCTAACCGCCGTCCTGTATCGTAGCTGATGGCAAGTACTGGTAGTTAGGAACGTGCCGAAGGCTGGAGGCCATGTCCTTTGTTTTAGCGCCCTCGTAGTCCGAGATGACTCCATAGATGGCCACTGCGCAAAGCTATCGCAGCTAGGTGAGATATACTGGAAAAGCGCCGATGTCTGACTATGCCCATTTATGTAGTCAGTCAGGTATCGGCGCCGCCCTTCTCTCTAGCAAGAATCCAAAATAGGCGACCTATTTGAACAGAAAGCTGCCGGTCTGAAACGTCCTCGCTCGTGGCTGGCGCCTTTGCTTTAGGTCTGCCACTGTAAAAGCCTCATTTCATGTCTGAGGGGCGGCCTCAGGGGTGCCTTTCTGCAACTCGCAAAGGAAAGGGAACAACGGGGTAGTTAGGCAACGCCCAAAGAAGACCCTGTATTCTGCTGCTGAGTGTTACTGTGGTCGGGACTTAACTGCCCAGAACGGGTGCACAGATGCCTGAACACTTTCATGTCGGCACACGCTTCCTGCGAGCGACGTAGAAGTAAGGATTGAGGATTAGGTACGGATCAACCCTCGTCTTCCTTAGCTTACCCTGGCATGGATGCATAAAGAGTATGGATTGCCGGGCCGATGCATGTTGGAGTATGGTCTTATACCGGCAGACTTTTATCATAGATTTCCTTGAGCAGCTACTACCAGTATCGATGCGCCATCAACTGCAACTCCTTGTCTACTAGTATGCAAATGTGCCATATGCACATTCTACGTTCTACGTATTTGCTGATGTGTTCTTTGATGTCGAATCCTCGCTAGATTAGATTATGCTAAACTAATTGCCGACCCAGAGCCGCATGGGCATCGAAATGAGGCCATGTGGGATAAACTCGCCTCAAGGGGGGCGATTTTCCACGGCCGGGATGCGCTGAGCGCATTCCCGCAATCAATATCACGCCGCACGGGCCCAGCTGCCTTTTCGGCTTCGCTATTGTGCACATCCCGGCACCAGAAACAAGTACACCGAAGTCAATCCACGGGTTCCAAGTAAATGGACACAGTGATTCAAGGTGCCTTCTGTAGGAGACTAGTGTGTGGGGCCTTGTCTATGCCTGTGCTCCTCGATCAAACTTTCAGCCTCCTGGGAGCTTTTCAGCTGAAAGGGTAGGGTAGGTGCTTCAATAGTGCTTACTCAGGTAGCAGCATGTCGCAGTGTATTGGCTTCATTGCTTTGTTGAAGCTGCACGTGGCCGATTCGCGCATACCGAAGCGAAAGGGCCAGCTGGCCGGAAGGGTCCTCCCGGCATCTTTCGATGTCCAGACTGGAGTCCGGAACTGTGAAACATGCAGCCTCGTGGCTTCGAGACTTACGGCTTCAGCTCGTTGGGGATAGTCGCGGACTCTTCCCTGTATCTTGCCATTGAAGAAGGGCAGTTTCCACGTGCCCTGTAGGCTGAGGAAATCGCAGTGCTGGGTCGACCCTTCCGCCAGTCGCTTCAATGACGCCAGGAACGGAGTTAGGCGCAAGTGGAAAGAAAGTGCGACTCTACAGATCTTCACAGTTCGGGTGTTGTTTGGATCCAGGAAGGATCAACGAGGGGGCTTGTAGGCCTTTCTTGAAGCCGCGCTAGATATTCGGGATACTTCCGTGCCCTCGTGTGTGGTTCGGGTGTTTTGGTAGGGATTCGAATACGAGAGCCGAAGCAGAATCACACAGCTTGCGATAACGGCGCGAACCTGGTGCAGAGTGGCGCAAGTGACGCACACGACGTGTCTTGCTAAAGCTCGAGTAATGTGCCACCTGGAGGTTTCTCATGTCCAACAAAGAGGCCCTCCCATACACCCGGGCCGGTAAAGCGGAGCAGTCATCTTAGCAACAATCCGCCGTGGTCTGGCTCAGCAACAGGGGCCCGCCTGTTACTGCTTATGTTTGCGAGAGTTTGTCGCTTGGTTATCAATGGGCGCGTTGGTCGGGAGGGCTTCTATTGGAACTCTTGATTCTGGGCAGGGATTTGGAGTCTTCACCCGCGTCCTCTGCCGAGGTGAAACCTTCATCTGAGGCACCTGCCGAGGGTGTTTCCATATCCAAAAAGTCGCCAGAGGCCTCGTGGCGTGGGTCCGGGTGCAGGGGTCCAGAATGGTCTGTTAAGGCCTTACTTACAAACGCTTGGCTAAGGTGTGAGCAACCCAGATGAAAGCCTCTAGCGGTCCCAGCACGAGAGCCGAAGCCTTCCAAATTTGCAAAACCGAACGTTCCAAGCTCAACCCGCCGAACCCCTTGATCCAGATGCGTATGCTCCTTGCCTGGGCTGCTTTGGCCCTTGCCGGGTCCAGTGTGGTGCGACGTGAGGCAGGGAGGAAGTCCAGAAGTTGAGTCTATAGAGTCTAAAGTCCGTATGCAGGCGGGGGTTTGCACTTTCGATGCAATGTGTGGGCTGCGTGCTTGGGAGTGGTTTCAGTCTGATGAAGGTCGGGCGAGCATGGCGTTTCGGGATCCGCCTTGTTGCAAGACTGAAACAGAGGAGTGTCCTTCTGCAGTTGTCCCTTTCTTATTCCCAGCTGTGGTTGTATCAACTTATAAGACAAGCTGCATTCAGGGGCGTGGCCAAGGCGACCAGGAGGCCTGTGGCCTGTTGGGGGACACATGGGACCTGTGTTCATGTTCGGGCTTCTTCATTAATGTTTCTTCTACTACTGCACCATTCTTTATCACAAGCTGCTGTAGCGCCAGATGCGTTACGACCGTGACCGGTGCGGTCAGAGTTTTAGCACCCGTCTATTAGACCTGCCAAGACAAGGAGCGAGGGATGCACATTCATATCGCAGCGTCGGAGCAGCAGCAAAAGTGAACCCGATAAGGCCGTGGCGAGCGAACACCAGGATCGAACGGTTCGCAAGGCACGCGCGAAGTCTTTTCGGAGGTCTGGACAGCTTGTGTGTGTAACTTGCCGGTCTGCAGTCTTTCTTCACTGTCCAAGATCAAGATACGGTGCTTATGCTTTGTCATGCAGTCTCCGTACGTCATCTCTCACCGCGTCTCAGTTCCAACATTCTTCCGTGCTGCGTCTTAGAGCCTATTCCCTTCGGCAGGTTTCAGAAGGGTTTCTGTGCGTGACGGCGAGAGTAGTCATGGACTTCAATCTCGAAGTCCCGCTTGAGCTTGCTGGGACACGCCACAGGGTTCCAACTAGCACACATGTGAGAAAAAAAGTGTCCGGCTTCCCTCAGACCCAAAGCTTACCCCAGAAACCCTTCGTAAACCCTAACAGCCCTAACACCACGCCTAAATCTACGTGTGCATCTGTACATATACATGGATGCATCTTATCTATACTTTAAATGTGTGTGTGTGTGTGTGCATATGCATGTGTTGAGTTTGGCAGGCTAGGG